ATGCATACAAGAACTGGGGTGTAGGTCAGAGGTGTGGGGGGTGAGAGGATTCAGCAGAGACAGAGTGGGGAGTAGAACAGATGGAGTCACTGAAATACCCTGCTAAGGGGAACAGCAGGCATGACAGGGAAGGTCTGCTTTGCATGGCTGGGGGTTGAACTCAGGCCACAGTGATGATAACATGATAATGCTGAGACTTACCCCCTATGCCATCAGGGAGGCCCAATATCTTGGTGTTTTTCAAAAACAGCACACTACCAAATTTCTTAGAAAAGTGACCCATGAACCAAGGCATTCAAGTAAAATTTGAAAAAAGAAAAAAAAAATAGAAGCATAATTTCTGTTGTTCCTAACAAAAGTTTCAGGACATTGGGGTTTCACTCAAATATATGGGGTAAGACTTTTGGTGAAGTAGGTTAGGACAATCCTTTCTAGATCTAATGAAGTAGTATAAAAACTGAAACTAAATTATGACAGTCCAATAAATTGTCTTGATATCATCCACGGAGTCACTTTGCTTGTTATATATGTCACCTCTAACTCTAGATCACCCTGGAACAACCTACATCTATTGTAAAATTCTGTTTCTCACAATTGAGGCTTGTGTGCTCGCTGTCAATCTGACTTCTCATTCTGGAACCGCTTATGGATTTTGGTTGAAGAAAGGTGCTTTTCTTGTTTTTCATCATTAATATGTGTATATATGTATGTGTGGAGGGGTAGTGGGTAGATAGATGGATGTTTGGGTATGTAATTTTATAACCTCATTAGGGCTAAAGATTGAACATTCTTGCTTTGTTTTCAACATTAATATGTGTTTGTATAAGTGTGGGGGGATGCGTATATATCTAAAGACAAAAATTCAAATAAATACATAATATAAAATTCAAATATAAAATAAAATACTTTCCACTAAGGGTTTAAAACTACACAGAAAGATGGTACATGCTCAGATGACTTCTATAATATTTTGATAACCAAAGCATAAGACCTGATTTTTTTAAAAATAGGCTTCATTTTTTAGAGAAGTTTTAGGTTCACAGCAAAAATTGAGTGGAGGGTATAAAGATTTTCCATTTTCCCCCTTTGCCCACATATGCACACCTGCCTTCATTATCAGCAGCCCTCCCCCCCACCAGAGTTGTGCACTTACTATACTTGATGTATCAGCTTCACCATAAATCTATAATGTATATTATGACCACTCTTGGAGTTGTATCTATGGGTTTGGACAATATATATTTATATACATCCATTGTTATAACATCAGCCAGACTATTTTTTTCTGTCTTAAATATCTGTGTTCTGCCTATTCATCCCTCCTTCGTGCCAACCTCTGACAAATGTCTCCATAATGTTGCTTTCCCAGAATATTACAGTTGAAATAATTCAGTATGTAGCTTTTTCATATTGGCTTCTTTAGCTTTGTAATAATCCCAAAAATTACCTTTTAAGGGGATTTCTTGGTGGTTAAATCCAGGGGTTAAGTGTTAGCGTTATCTCTGCTATGGCCTGAGTTCAATCCCAGCCAGGGAGCTAACCCACATGGCGCAGCAGACCTCTCCTATCTTGCCTGCTGCTCCCCTCAGCAGTGTATTTCATCAGTCTGCCTGTTCTGCTCTCCACTCTGTCTCTGGTGAATCCTCTCACCCCCCACACCTCTGGCCTATATCCCAGTTCTGTACACAGACACATACAATGCATTAGCCTTTAAAAATATCAAATAATGTAGAAAATAAGCTTTCCTACTCAGACTGCACTCCCATCTTATTTTGGTCTCCACTCTCCCTCTAAATCTTGCCCTAGTCCTAGAATAATAAGTGAAACTAAGATCAATGATAGAGCAAGGCTTGGTGGTCTAGTGAGGGGCAAGACAGATATAAGGCTCTGTATAATTACAGGATAAGCTGGTTAGGCTGCAAAAACAATTCACCCCAAAATTTCAGTGATTTAAAATGAAATGTCTTATTTGTCCCTCAAATTACATGTCCACTGAGATTGCTTGTACTAACTTAAAAGCCAGAGTGATACCAACTGAAACCTGAGTGTGTTAAAGGGAAAGGAGGGTTTTGCAGGCCATTAGCTCCCAGGAAGGGTTCTAGTTCAGGGTGACACGCACTGCTCCTTCTTATAGTTTAGGGCTCCTAGTCATGTGACCCTCTCCCACCACATAGGCACAACCACACAATCCTTAGAATAGTGAAGTGGACATTGAGCAAACTACTCAGTGTTTGTGAGCAGCATTAGTAAGTATGTTTCTATATCAACTTTTTTCATGTGATGTCAAAATAGCTACAAAATCTGGGGTCACTCCTATCTTTTAAATATTATATGCTGCCATCATTTCCTGGACATTTTAAAATAGAACTGTAACTTCTGTTAAGGTTCATTGCAAGTGTTGCAAAATAGTGTTTTGCATTACTGCAGAGGCAGGAAAAAAATGGATAACCAATGTCATAGAATAAACATTTTTATAGAATCTTAGAAATGGAGGGAATTTAACCACTATGTAATTCAATCTAACTACTTTTAGATATTGTACACATTTATGTGTAAGTTCATACATATTTATGTTTGTGTGTACACATGTATACATATGCACAATTGAATATGATAATCATATGCATACACACATATATATATACATATTATTATTATTCTTTTGGCATCATATATGTAGTTAAGTCCACACTTAGCATTATTGATAGGTTCTTGGAAACTGTGTCTATTTTTTTTAAAGATTTATTTATTTATGCATATAAGAGCTGGGGTAGAGGCCAGAGAAGCAGGGGGTGACAGGATTCACCAGACAGAGTGGGGAACAGAGCAGGCAGACTGATTGAAATACACTGCTGAGGGGAGCAGCGGGTGAGACAGGAAAGGAGAGGTCTGTCTCGCCATGTGGGTTTCTCCCTGGCCAGCCGGGGATCAAACTCATGCTGCAGTGGCTGTGGATTGCTTCATAGTGCGGTGCTTAACCCTTTGCACCACCAGGGAGGTCCCAGAAACTGTGTCTTTAAATGAAATGGTGTCCTCAAATATTGTCATCTTGTTCAAATTTCCCAGGGAATTTTTCCTGGCAAAAAAAGCAACATCAAATGAGACATCATTTGAGGATCTTCTATGCACATGTTATCACAAATATTAAGCATCTTATAAGATGTGCTTATAAGTAGGGATGCTTATCATTCATATATATGGTATTTGCTATTAGAAAAAATAATTATTTTGTCAAATACAGTGTCTTGTATCTGTACACAATCTGACCTATATAACTAGTGAGGGTGAAAGGAAAACTTCAGTTTCCATCTCTTCTAGCTAGACCATCAACTCTTGAGTTGATTCAATTGAGTGTTATAGCTAAGTTATTCCTTCATTGTGCTCTCATTACTTGCATATTAGCTTTCCTTGCAGAGATGCTTAGAACCTAGATGGAAATGAATGGAAAGTTTTGAGCTTAATTATCATCAGTAATAATTTAATGATTGCAATAAAATATTAAAGAATTAAGTATCAAACTTGAAGACGAAGATAAAGTATGATCAGGATGAAGACCATAGAAATGATTAAAATATAAAAAGAACTAATAATTTATGTGAGAAAATTAAGCCTTTGAGATGTTTTGGTTAGTACATGCCAATGGGTATAAACCTGGACTGATACATCTGTAAAATCTGTATTTTTTTTTTTCAGTCTGCCTGTGAAGCAGGTGGTCATATACTTTCCCTTCCTGAATGCAGGGAAAGACCACATTTCCTATGCTCCCTGAAATTGAGACTATATGACCAAGTGGGTGGAATTTGTATATGCCACTTCTGAGGTCTAGCCAAAAAAGTCATTTGAGGATCCTTGGTTCTCTCTTTCCTTGTCAGAGCAAACTCTGAGCGCATGTGTTATGGCGTCTAGCTCCAAAATGGCAAAGCTTTGGTCAGCCTGGTCTCTTGTACTTCACACCAACTTTCACTGGGCATCATAAAAGCAAAAACCTAGATAGACAGATAAATGGACAGATAGGCCCATCTGGATGTAGCCAGTGAGATCCTGTAGTTATCTTGTAGATGTAACACAATCTAGTCCATCCTGACTAGAGCATGTAGTTAGAATTTTGCCCTTAATTTAATTACAATCATATGATTTGGGGGGGGGGAAATATCTCTCTGATACAAAGGAAAAATAAATCTAAACTTCTTGGTTTAAAGAATGTTCTAAACACTTTAAATACTATTTTCTCACAATATATTGATCCTATTAGACAGTTATTTTGGGTATTTGGCATGCTTTTTAAATTTGACAAAATTGAGTCAATATTTTGAAATCAATAAGGATGTAGTACCAACTTTACACCCTAAACTTTGTTAAACCAGCAGCGTGTTGTAACTAGGTATTTTCCACCTATAAACTATAGATTGTTATAAGTCTGTAAGTACTGTAAATCTGTAAGTCTGTAAGTACTTTTAAATATGAAACATCTATAGAATTATGGGAGAAACTGCACATTCTTTGACATTCATTTATCTCTAGCTACTAAATATATTGCTCAAATAGATTGCCTGACACAGACCTGATCTGATCCAACATGCTTTGTTTGACCTAGTGATCTTTTCATCTTATAAAGTTATGTCAATTTTATGACATATCAAGGAAAAGAACCTCAAAACTTCCCTGCTGGGAAACTGACAGTCTTTTTGCATAAAATACATTCCTACATGAGAGCTCTTATTTATTATATTAACAGAAAACAGAAGAAAATTTGCATTTTGAGTGCTATGGAAAAAGATCCCAAAGTCATCAGTTGTTCTGAGCAACATATTGTACATGTTCCCACATGACAATTGAGACACACACTCATTTGTTAATCTCTGCAGCAGCAGCTCTTACCATTCAAAATGGAGCAAACCTTTTTCGAAGAAGTTCATTTGAAAGAGGTTAAGAGCAATAGCCTTATTATGACCTCAGAACAGAACCATTTTCTGCTTCATTCAGAATTATGCATCTGAACACAGAGTTCTTGCTGACTCCTAAGATGCCTTTATGCAAATCAGAAAAGGTAATTCCCTGAGTGATCAAGTTAGAAAGCGGGGTGCCTGGCAGTGCACCTTTGTATGTTGTACAAGCTCTACAACAGCATGTTCACCCTGTGAACATCTTTAAATAAGACCTTGATGATTGGTAATGTATGATATTCTTTACAGACTATCGTTAGTCAATTCTAAGAAGGTCAGAATATAATTACAACAGCTAGGTTTCTATTTCTCTCTGAGGATTCCTGGGTAACATCCATCTGAAGAATTGCTACTTAGCACAGCTGTGAACCTCCTGGAAAAGCAGCTCATTCTCCTCAGCTCTTTATTGGAGCTGAGAGGAAGTAAGAATCAAGTTCTTGGTCTACTCAGGAGTAGTCAGGACACTTCATGGCAATGACAAAAACCCAAGTCAACTTGACTTTGGAATGGAGATTGATGCATTTGAAAAGGTTTCTCAATGTCAACACTAATGGCACTTTGGGCTGGATGATCTTTGTTATAGAGCATTTATGGGCCATAATTGGACTCTGCCAAGTGGTTGCCAGTGTCACTACTCACCCAAGGAGGTAACTAAAATGTCTCTAGATATTGATGTCCCTTGGGGGCAATATTTCTCCTAGTTGAAAATCAATGAAGAAAAGTCCAGGAATATCACACTCATACCCAAACAAAAGGGACCCAGGGCAGACTTATTTTCTATGAGCTCAACATGTCCAGGGGTATGAGGGTGTAGGGAGAATCTTTCTCCACATACTCCCAGGCAGGGCACATCTTAAAGTTCAGGAGAGGACTAAGTAGTTCTTTTCTTTGCATTGCCCAAAACAATTCTGTCTGCCTCTCCTCCTCTAATCTTCCTAATAAGTGGAGATCTCAGGTCAATAATGAGAAAGTAAAGTACTTGGTTGGGAAAAAGAAACTCACATTAATAAAGTCTAAACTGTTGCGCTTATTACAAGAGTAACTATCCTAAAAAAAAAAAAAAAACCTTATATAATTTTTCTGAGAAGGGAATTTCAAGGGAAGGAGTGTTTTCTGTTGGCCCCACTGCACATGTATTATTATTCATTAGGTGTCTGCTGCATATTTGACAGTGCCAATATTTGAGTCTCACCAATCTGGCAACAATAATCCCCACTTTCATGGCTGTCCTGAAAATTAACTAATTGAGCACCTAACTCAATACCTGCTATGTAGTAGGCACCAACTGGTAAATGAAAAGCATATACATTTCTTCAACCCATCTTTTGCTAATGTGTAGCTTCTATTGTTGTGTTCTAGTTAGGGCTAATCTATGTCAATTCTCAAATTCAGTAAAAGCTGATCTATTTGGTAGACCACCAACTGGATATTCTTAGTCTGTTCCATCTACACATTTACAAAATAGTTATGACTTTTATCCTGCAAGTTCCTGAGAGGCCTTTGGAATCTAAAACTAACTGAATTCTGAATTCTGTAAAGTCTCCTTTTAGGGCTAAGTATATTTTGGCTTAATAGTATTTCTCTGAAAATAACTAATTGTCCCAAAGATTAGGCAACCAGAAAAAATTTGCTGACAATATTAGCTAATTTAGAATTTCCTATATGAAACTTTATGTCCTATTCATTTCAAATGGGTCCCATGAGGCAAACTTTCTCTAAGAAAATAAAGTTGTGACTCAGGAGCTGAATAAAGGAACTGGTAAGATATAGAACATTTGCCCCCTGAGTCATCAGTTCAAATGTGACCCCAAATTGTTAACATCTGAGTGCTGTTTGCTAACCTCAGCGTGATCACTGGAGGAAGAGAAGCCACATCACATGTACAAAAAAAAAAAAAAAAAGCCAGCAAAATTGTGGGTTGTTCTCAATAGAGAAGCAAGGTTAAAATGAACCCTAGACCTTACCTTTGTCTTCGCCTGCATCTCCCACAGCATTGCCCTAATATAAACCAATGCTGAGATTGATTTTCCAAATAAATCAGGTGTTGCTTTATGTATTTTTTCCTAAATAAATGTCAACTAATAAGACACAAGTATTGTATTTTTGTTTTATCAAAATATCATTGACTAGAGTAGGTTGTATAATGAGTGTAATAATTGCTATAATATCATAACTATAAATAATAAAATAGTACTAATAAACATTTACTGAGAATCTATGATGTGTCAAGCACTATGCTAGCATCTTACATAGATTCCATGATTTAAATTTCAGAACATTACTAGACAGTAATCATTTCAGAGTTGAGGAAATTGAGATGCAAGTCACTTAGTTATTTTATCCAAGCCTACATGTAGCTAATTAAATCCAAACTCAGGCTTTTTAATCCCTGTTTTTCTGGCTCTACAGTCATATTATTTCTGTTATGTGTTTTTATTTCTCACATCTTGCTTACATTGACTGTTTTTTATTCATTTATTTTCTCTATTTTGGGGGTTATCATCTTGACTAGAGAGTCGCAGACTGACCATTAGATTGTGTTTCCAGTTAACCACACTAAGATGGTCAAATCAAGTTATGCTTTAGATTAATCTAAAAAATGTGATACTTAAATCTCTATAAAGGTAGCTTTTATCCAAAAGCAACTTTTTCTAATCATTTTTTAACTAAATAATTCATGGATATGTGTAATTTTCTTAAAATGAGAAATTAGGCAAAAGGAAACCTTAACCATATGTTCGGAATGACCTATATGGAAATTAAAATTAAAAGAAAAATCAGAATAAATGTATAATTTTAGGGAATTAGAAGATGCCTTAACTTTCTTAATCTAAGTGATCTTATGCCATTTTTGAGATGGCTATGAAAATCAATCATTTTTAAAAAATTATAAACTTTCTCATTGACTTAATAATTATGTTGTATAAAGCAAAACCCACTGGAACTACATGAAATAATTTTAGAAGTTCTTAGGAAGTTAATGTTCTGTAAAGTCAGTTTCTAATTGAATTGAGAAAACATTTGTCCTCTTGGCAATCAGAGTCTTAGGAAGAAATATAGATTGACTCGAGTTAAGTTTCCTATGTATTTCTAAATATTCGTATCATGGTTGCAACCATGGAATGCTTGCTTGGTATGGAGTACATTCTAAAACAGAGCAAACTATCATCTCAGTTACCATATAAGTCATTGATTCCAAGTTTTTCATTCTAGAAACAATAGTTTTAGGAGTGACCAATTTTCAGTTAATGGATCTCATTGGGAGAATGAGATATCTCTGGGTTCTGAGTGCTCATGAAGTTGAGGTCAAAGAAAGACCCATTTGGACTAACTACAAGGTCAGTCTAGTGAAAGGCTTCCCCGTGTAATTCAAATGTGGCCAAAATCTGGTAGTGGTGCATGGTAACTGATAGCACATTTTAGCTGGAGAAATTAGCACAAATATCATGGAAAATATACACTTGGGCCAACAGCAACATTAACCACCAAAAGAATACCACCAAATTTATAAGGCATGGGATATTACATTTAATGGGCTATAAACCATAATTAAATTACTTACATATTTTCACTATCCAGTAATGGTGAAGAGTCATGGTTATTAGGTTTAGCTGCAGGAATCTCACCTATAAATATGCTGTGGGGTCAGCAGGATATCCATGTGCAGGGACAACCATGGGTACCCTGCGTCTGAATTGACCTTTATTAAAAGCATCAGGGAGAAACTGTAGGGCCAGCCTTGTTTGACCTCTCAGAACTTTTGAACTATAGTTGTGGAGCACAGTTGCTATAGAAGTCCTATATTCCCCTTGTATTTGACTGCATTTAGAAAATCACTCTGTTTTACAAATTCCAAAAAGGGAAATATCTGTTAGAATCTAAGAGACTGATTCATCTTCCTGGATATTTGGGTAAATTTGAGCAACATTTTTAGGCTGGAGTGGTTTAAAGACATTCCTGTGTACTTCAATACTTAGGCACAGATTCCATTTGCTGGATTAAGTCTAAAATCATAGTTTGAAAACTGGTAACCTGTAGCCTGGATATGACTAACAGGCATATTATGTTTTAAGAAATGTATTTCATTCCACCAAAAGCTGTAAGCATACAATCCTGACCTAATAACCATCCACCAGAGTGGGTTACTAGCTGAGCTGCCACTATGCATGAGCCACCATTTCACCAAAGAGGACCTTGTTGGTTTCTTTTTCTACATACCTGGAGGAATGTAAGTTTTTCACCTCTAAGTTAAATAGAGGCCATTGAAAGAAAATCAAATTCAATTATTTAAGTCCTACCTATTCTGTGGTCCCAAAGTCTAACTTGCAACCTCTGTCAGCACATTCTCTCTCCTTCTCACCAGATCTTAAAATAAAATAAAATCCCCTTTAAACTAATAGTGGCCTGGAATTATCTTTACAAAAAATGTAAGATATAATGAAAATAGGTAAATTATAAAGGTGTATCATTTGAATCTCAAGGCTTAAAGTTACCTTTTAATTCACCTGCTCTTTCCAACAAACCATCACAAGAATTATTATAACCACATTTCTGGTGAATGGTTAGTCAGCTTCTTTCTAGTGCCAAGGAGATTTGACTCACAGAAAGGAATTGGTTCCAGTATCAAAAATCTTTGTATTAAAATAATATTTCTTTTTTTTTTTTAAGAGGCATGTGTTTTTATTTATTTATTCGTTTGTTTTTTTGTTTATACATGCACTGGGTACAGTCAGAAGCGTGGGAGGGTGAGAGAATTCACCAGAGCCAGAGCGGGGAGCAGAGCAGGTAGAAGGACCGAAGTACACTGCTGAGGGGAGCAGTGGGCGGCAGGAGAGGTCTGCGCACCATGTGGGACCCTCATCTGGAGGCCGGGGAGCAGCCGGGGATCGAACCGGCGCCTCAGAGGCTGCGGGCAGCTTCGCAACCCAGCGCTCAACCGCTGCGCCACCGGGGAGGCCCTAAAATAATATTTCTTAAACAAAGCTTATTAGTATCTGAACTTAATTTGGTTTTAATCCAGAATAATGTGTCTTTTTGGTACTGGAATGAGAATCATGATAGACTGATTTATGAACCTTTTTGATGAATGGTCATTATTAAATTA